GTGCTATTGGCCATCAGCCAATTGTTTAAAAACAGCTGGTGATCAGGGCCGATTATTTAATGAGTAAAAACAACTTGCGTGAAGACGTTGTGTTGTTTCTTGTGTTGAATATAGGGCTGTCCAAGTTAAAGCAATGAGTGAGTTTATGAATGAATGAATGAAGCATTTATTTAGTGCTTTATGTATTACTGTATACCCAAAGCGCTTTACAATCATATCATCCACCAGCAGTGTGCAGCTGATCCACCTGAATGAAGCGACGGCAGCCACAGCACGCTCCTCACACACCGGCTACAGGTGGAGAGATACTGATAGAGCCAGTTCAGTGGATGGGGATTATTAGGAGGCCATGACTGACAAGGGCCAGCGGAGGGAATTTGACCACAACACCGGGGATACACACCCCTACTCTTTATGAGAAGTGCCATGGGATTTTTAGTGACCACAGAGAGTCAGGATCTCGGTTTAATGTCACATTAATGCAGCACTGTTAATGCATGTTAATGGCGACCCTATGAACCACCCATGAAGTTCAAGCCAGGGTTGCCAGGTCCATGGTTTTCCCTTCACAAAAAATTATTTGTAATGCATCTCCAATCCAATTATCACAAAGAGCTTTGTGCTTTGCTACTTCTGATAAGAAACAAAGTTGCATCTTTCAAAATCCTGTACATTTTATTACAAAATAAAAAATAAAAAAAATGCTGTTTTGATGCTCTTAAATGTGGCTTGACAGATTGCTGTAGCAGCTTCAGTTCAAGCGACACACGGAGCGCGAGTCACTTCCACTTTAATACAAGTTATAGCACAAAATAAACACGAATGAACAGTATCTGTATCAGCAAATATCATTCTGAATAATCAGCTAATCCGTATAGGCTGAAAAATTTCGTATTGGTGCATCTCTAGTAATCAGTCTTACTTTAAACAAATTAGACCGAAGTACCTTTTTGTAACAGACTTTAAAAAGTTCTGACCAGTCTTGAAGAAAAAAAAAAAAAAGATTAGATGACTAACTTATTTAGACTAGTCTAAACAGTTTATGCAACAGCCACAGAAAATAAAATACATGCATAATAACATCATTCAGAGAAATAATGCTGACTGCGTACAGACAAAGACATCAAGCTTTATTTCCAAGATGATGCATGGTAAACTTTGAAATGTAATATAATATAGTAACAGAGGCTTGTATTGTAATATTTATTGTATATTTAAATCAATTTATAATACTAGATATACGTTTATATATATATAAAAAGCAGCAATTAAAAGGGTTCCAGCATTGTAAGGCATTTAATAGGGGTGTAATGATCCATCGATATGGATCGATACATCGATTAAATGTCTAACGATATGATGTATCGATGCCACACGTAAAATATCGATATCTGTAGTATAAATAGGCACCTTATTTTGACACTGTCCACATTTTCACCAATGTCCGTCTATGCATCACCGCTAACGTCTGCATTCTCGTTTAAACCATAGACTGTATAAAAACATGGATGTAGTGTCCGTGACTTCCATGTTGGCTTCACGAGAGAGCGGGAGGTTGCCGCTTGGTTCAAACTCATGTGTCGGGACGATAAGACTGCCTGAAGGGCAAGCGTAAAAGACGCTCGGGATAGTTGACGGAATTGTTGAGCGCTTGTGAGAAGTTTTCAGCGCGCAGTGACGCGCACACATCCAAAGCACATGCATACAGACAGACGCATCTACAGTGCGCTAATACCTAATTGAGCTCTGTTCCGCTTTTTCGTGCATGGATGAACAAATACAGACCAAATTACAACAACATGTGCACCTTGGTGAATATCTTAGTACAGGGTTTCTGCAGACTTGAACAAGTTAAATTTAAGACTTAATGTTATGAGATTAATGTTTTAAATGCATTTATGAGTATACAAATAAGAAATGTTGAGGGTAAAAAAGCATACTTTTCAACATACTTCTCAACTGAACTACCAGTAAGTGACGGTAAGTCACTTGATGAGTGAGTCATTGAGTCATTCATTCAACTGACTGAGTGTGTTATCATGCTGCTATCCTAAGGACTTTCGTGGACAGCTGACTCCTAAAGTTTTTGATATTCTTCACTAGACTTCTCGTAATGCGTGCACTCTGTAGGTGTTTTGAATGTTTGTTTTCTTTGCATCGTGAGAATATTGAGTAAAATAGCTCACTTGTCATGGTGTTATTTAACTATATCATGTTATGAATAAAATAAACATTTTGAATTTTTACCTCAGTGTGTTTCTTCTGAGTTTATGTGTGCGGTCACGCTCATTTGTTCTGAAGTCTCGAGACAAACAGAGTGAGCCTCAGCGCGAGCTTATATTCTGTATTCTGCTAACTTACTGCGATTCTCTCTGACGAAGAAAATATCTTCGGTCTGTCCAATGATTGTAAAGTCATTAGGTCTGTCAGACTTAAGATATTTTAGCGGTAATGAGACCAAAAATATTTAAGACCCATCGAATCCGAATTTAAGACATTTTAAGACTTTAAGGACCCGCGGACACCCTGTAGTAAACACAGTCGGTTAGGCCTATGTCTTAACGTAAACAGTTGAGAAAGAAAACGCATGTGTATCAGTATATTGGATCCGT